AAAGAAAGAAAGAAAGAAAGAAAGAAAGAAAGAAAGAAAGAAAGAAAGAAAGAAAGAAAGAAAATGTGTCACCTCTCAGAGAAAGCTGAGTGGTTAATTTCTCCTGGGTAGCGGCCTCCAGGTAGGTGCAACTGCAGGGCAGAGGGGTGAAGGGGAGAGAAGGCGCCTCCTGCAGGCACAGAGTAGAACTGCGATCGCAGTGCAGAGAGACAAAGGGACTCCTCCATCCTGCTGAGATAAACAAAACAACATTATTGTACCATATAGCGTCTCAGACACTAGTTTTTACCTGCATTGATGGCGGGAATACATTCTCATTTAGCTAAACACAGTTTAAGATTTAGATCTTCCTCTAGGGAATAGAACAGTTCATGAAACAGAACTGTGTTCACTGAAGATCGCTGGATTCCTCAAGTCCTTTACTTTCTTTATAATGAGAGTCTTTATACTTTTAAAACTTTTACTATGTTTCCAAGCAACCCATTTTAGACAGAAAACTGAGCCTGGGTGCTGGTTCCCCAACATAAAACCAGATCTGTTTGTAACGCAGTGCTGCAGGAAGCTTTAAAAATCTCTTTGTTTCAGTAGTTTTTAATAATCAGAGATTAAAATTTGAAACATCCTCTGATTATTTTCACTCATTAAAAAACTAAATCTGAATCATGTTAGTTTTTGTTAATGTAAATAAATCAGTTCATGAGAGTTGAACATCTGGAAGCTAAGGTTTGGGTTTTTTAGAAGAAAACAAATCTCTAGACTCCGTGCCCGTTCTTTAGTAAACAATTTTGCTGCCCCCCCTTCACATTTTAAAAGTCATCCTAAAAGTTTCCGTTTGCTTCAACCTTAACCAAAGCAACACCTGTCTTGGTAAACTGTAAATGGGACAGAGTGTCACTCTGTTGTCACTTTATGCTTGATGTATCTTCATCTTCAACTGTCAAAGTTTATAGTTACCTTTGTAAAGATAAAGGGTGGTGCATGTAGGCAGGGTGATAGTAAGCAGCAGCAGCGGCTGCATGGGCAGCCGCAGCAGGGTCAAGACTCAGGGGCAGAGAGGTGAGTCTGAGATCATCGGAGGTAGCGAAGGGCCGGAGGGCTCTCAGGTATTCCTCTGGAACACCACCCGAGGGAACCACGGCATGCATCTGCCCTGGCAAACTGCAGAGCAAGCTTTTATTGTGTGCACTAGGAAAATTAACATACCTTGAGCTATGTGTATGGGATACGCTTACCTTATGCTTTGCAAGCGAGGGTCCTGCATGATACTGCTGTGAGTGCGACCGAAGGACTGAGCTAGTGAATGTGGTGGGGGTACGGGCGGTGTCCTCTTATCCTGCTGCAACTGGGCGCTCTCGGCTCCCACCCGCTCCCGACTTAGTCCCTGAACACTTGACTCAACCTGACAAGGACACAGAGGAAGTGTGAGAGATGGGATTATTGTGTATATTCATGAGAAGTGTGTGTGTGTGTGTGTTTGTGAGGGATCTAAAGTGAGCAGAAAAGAGGGACAAGAAATGAGTTAGAGCTGCCGAGTTAAAAACCTCCCAGCTGCACCCAGAGGGCTCAGCGGAGCCAAGAAGTGGGTCTGATATGTCACAACGGGTCAAAATCAAAGTGGAAAGATAATCCTAATATCTGCTCAACCTCTCCATCTTTCATTCCTCTGCCTCCCAAAGTTCCTCACTCTTATGATGTAGACACCAGTTTTAGGATTCTTTATTATTTTAATCACTTTCTTTGAATATATCCATGTACTTTTATTCCTTTCTTGGTCAGTTTCCAGATTATGCATAACTGCTGCTATTACGGTATCTTTTACTATAACCAGTCTGTCGTTGTTATGTGCATTCATTCCAACATTTAGTTTAATTTGTTTTCCTGCCATTATCCACTTAGCTTTGTGGGATCAGTGTGCTCGAGATTCACTTCCATTGCTTATCTTATGCATTATTTTATTAAAGTTATCTAATTCCCTTCACTACCTTTTTCTGTTTAAGTTTTAAAACACACACAACAATGGTTAAAATGTTTCTTACTATCATGCTTATGAAGAAAGACCCTGAGACAATCAGTAAAGGGGGACTATATTTTGCACAAGTATTCTTCCTCCTTTTAATTTTTCACATTTCTCATTTTGTCTTTGCATTCCTAGATGTTTATGGTTTGGTGGATATTTCTACCAGGGATCTGGAGCTTGCCTTTTATATGATAGCTAAAGCTCATTCAGATTGGGGGGAAAACGTAAGTGATGAGCAATTTAAAAGTCTCAGCTGGATTTAGATCAGAACTTTGACTAGGACCTCAAATCTACAAATAGGCCATTGTAGCTCACATTGTTTGTTTACATTGTTGTCAAAGGTAACACCTCCCCTCCAGTCTTAGGCCCCGTCCACACGAAGTCAAAACGAACACGAAACGCTGATATTTTCCAAAACGTTTGCCGTAAA